TAGACTGCTTGCTTTGTACGGCCGATGAGCCTGATCCTGCCCTTTCCTCTTGGCTCTTCTCCCAGCGATTGGCAGGAGAAGGGCCGGCAATGAAGTGGCTCGGAGATGGCATCCTCCTCCTCCTCCGAAAATGCTCTCTGAATGGGGAGGGGGGGAGGCAGTGAAATCCTGGCCTGACTTTGGGGAAGCGGCGGCCCAACTAGACTGCTTGCTTTGTACGGCCGATGAGCCTGATCCTGCCCTTTCCTCTTGGCTCTTCTCCCAGCGATTGGCAGGAGAAGGGCCGGCAATGAAGTGGCTCGGAGATGGCATCCTCCTCCTCCTCCGAAAATGCTCTCTCCTGGCTCCCCATCGCCTTCCGTGTGAGGCATATCGGAGGTCTTCTTCCTTGGGGAGATGCTGGGCTTAGTTGTGTTTGATCTGGTTGGGTGCACAGATGTTGAAGCCGGACTTGTAATTGAGCCAAGAGTGTGCCAAGTGGGAATAAATTATGGCATGTAGAGAAAAGGGAATTGGGGGATTGAGAGCGAGCGAGAGGCCAAACGATCTTTAGTTTATCAAGAGGAAGAGGGCCACTCTCCCCGCAAATGAAATGCAAAGCTTGGTAAACATAGGAGAGAGTGCTTTGCATAACCTGGCATCTCTCATCGTTCCTCATCCCAAACTGAGTTATCCACAGCTTCTGTCCTAGAACACAGCCGCGTGGCAGGGAAGCCTATATTCTCTGTTCCTGGATTTATTGTTGGAGAAGCAGGTGCTTCCAGAGAGAGGATTTCCCTCAAGACAACCAGAAACAGTGTAAATCAGCGTTGGAAGGAGATGTCTGTTCCCTTTTTCATGGGTGGAACTTCAATGTGGGAAGTCGCCTTGCTTTGTTAAAACTGTAAATAACTTAATAGAAATGTTTTGGCAAGTTCTAGGAGAGTTTTACAAAGAATTAAATGAAGTGCATCAGTCTTCTCCTTGAAGTCCTTTACATGGTGCTAAAGCAACTAAAACTATTGGTACCATGAACGAGGCACAGATGCCCAGCATTTTCAAGATGGATCATATTAGTGATATGACTGCAAATTTTCTGGATCAGCTTGTATTTAGGAATTTTAAGAGGAGAAAGGTGGGAAAGATGACGAAAAGGAAATAGAGTATGGAAAAAACATATGGTTTAAAAGAAGTTGACTGAGAGCTTGATCAGATGGGCATTTGTCCCACTGTTTGGTGCACTGTGGGGATGTATTGGTCTACTCCTTTTTCCAGCACAATCACATGACATAATCATTTCACTAGAGCAGACCAGTTTTCCCCCAGGGCACTCCAACCCACACCTTTTGGAGCCCCAATTTGGTGCTCGTGCTTTTTCTGGTGCAGGTTGGTGCACTCTAATTCAGTCCATTGCCAGTGCATGCAGTCATTGGGATTGAACCAAAATTGAACCTTGTAGCTGTCAAGGCATATCACTGCTCCCCAACTCTATTTAGTCTGCACCAGCCCACACCAAAAGGCCCAGTGCAGTCGGACCCCCATGGGTTCCATGTTGCAGACTGTAATTAAGAGTGGGTTCTGGGTGTTAAGAAGACTGCACTGGTGTTTTAATTTGGTATTTTTCTTGCAAGATGGACAGGTAGAATAAATGTTAATACAAATATGAATAGCTAAAGAAGTACTGTTAGCAACATACAACAGGATAAGGTGCAAAATATCAGAATATGATACGTTTCAGTGACTGAAATGGAGTTGTTATGAAGTGGGAAGGGAAGTGGGTTCCTCTCCTCCATATCTCTACAAAAATTAGGATGTTTTGGACTTTATCTCTTCGTTTTCTGAAAAATTAAATACAAATGTGTTTGCATTGGGATATTTAATTCTTTGTCAGTGCACCTAGCTAGGTCATTCTAGGTACAGTACTGTACTAGCTTTTATAAGGTCTGTAGGCTGTGTCTGAGATGTGAGAGTTGATATTGCTAGAAGTAAAACTTTTACTCTAATCACCTGAAGCAGTTTAGATATAGCAACCTGAAAAATAATATTTGTGTAATCTGTATTATCTTGGTCAGTAATGTTGTTCTAAATGCCTTTGCAGTGATGTATATTTGTAGGGACAAATGCACACTACTACAAAGCCATTTAGAAGCCATTTGAAGGGACTAATGCACACACATTGAAGCCGGTAAATGTCAACTCAGTCTTCCATAGTAAGAATTTTAAAAGACTGGAAACCGAGTAATATGCAAGAGGGTGCAACACATCTATCTGTGAACTTCCTAGATTAATGTGCTATGGAGGGAAAGAGAATTTCCATTCTGTAATTATCTGGGTTGATTTGTATGATTCTAGAGAAAGGGCATATGTTGTAGTATCAGTGAACTGGTTTACAGCTTCCTGTAATGTTTAGCAAGTTAATTAAACCCCATTTATTTTGTATTTTTACTTTTTTTGATGCACACTTGTTTGTCCATGGCTCCATCTGGATAGAATGACAAATTATTTTATTATAATAAGAACAAACTATAGTCAGCCTTGGACTTGTCACTTTCTCTTTACCCTGACTCAGCAATGAAAAGACACAGCTTTTGCATCACTTTTTAATTAATGGCTGCCTGTTGTTATAACTGGGTCTTGTACCCGTAGAAACTCTTGTTAAATGTGATTATTGTTTTTTTGAAGCAGCCAACTTTAGATGTTAGGTTAAGAGTTGCTATGTTGGTTTCAGCAAACTGTAGTTAAAATTAGGTATGATTAGCTGTACCGTAATACATATACAGTAGTAGTTAATAAAAAAATGGAGGAGGATGCTACCAACCTATTTTATGGTTGTGCCAAGGAAAGAAGGGGAAACTCATGAACCCAAGTTTCATTGTGACTGACTCCTGTAACAGTAAACTATACTTCATTGTTGTCTTCATGGCAGACAGCATACACTTGTGTCTTTCACTAGTAGTGTACTTGCTTACAGACTGCTGTTACTAAATAAATATTTTAACATAATAGAGGGTTTATTCTAATCTTTCCCCCTTCAGATTTAGATTTAAGGTGATGTGTTTTGGTCATTTTATTTGGCAGTAACAATTAAAGGATGTGACCTGAAGTAAAGGGGAAGACACCAATAGAATGCAATTATGCAGGGTCAGAAGCAATAAGTTTAAACATGTTCCTCTTTTGGAAAAAAAAGTGTCTAGTAAGTTTGTAAGTGAAGGAGAGTGCCCTCTAGCTCTGTCTGTGTAATGGGTATGTAACACCTCCTTGTTTTGAAAGGACGTGTGTCTCTTTCTTATTGGTTGCCTTTAAAGACATGGCAGGTGGTTCACTAAGAACTTTAATGAACATGATTGAATAATATTTCATACTTCAGAAGCCAGTATCAGATTTAAACCTGGAAACCTTGCACAAAACTGCATGTTGATAATTCTTGAGCACTGGAACAAAATGTCTGAATTCATTTAGTTTTCTAGTGCTCTTACGGACAGTTTCCTTTACTTCGAAGGAAATCTTTGTTACAAAATATACAGTACTCTCTTTTCAAGTACGTGTTCACATGTTGACTGGCAATAAAAATATCCTTAAGTTTTTCCACTTCTGTTGGAAACCTTGGCTTTTTCAGTGGGCCCATAATTAGTCATCTCAAGCTAACTATTTAATTCTTTGGGTGTATAAGGCATATGATTAAAAAAAATATTTTAGCTAACTTTTTGGCATTGTGGAACATATTTGACATATAACTATGTACAGATTTAATTTTCTCTGACACAATTAGCAACCTAACATCTAAAGTTGGCTGCTTAATTGCTTAATTAAAACATCAGTATTAGCAATAAGGATCTTCAGACTTAGTTGTTATCAGTCTTACAGTAATGGTCCCTGGCATGATTATCCAAGGCTTAAAAGTGATGCATCACTAATATAGTCCACCAAGGACTAAAAGGTAAAATATTGATGTCTTATGTCTTTGTGGATAAAAGAGGAAAGGCCATCCATACATGGGAAATACTTTCTTCTTAAAGAAGATTATTTGTTTGTTTATTTATTTGTTTATTTGTTTGTTTATTTTATTTTATTTATATGCCGCCCACACTACCCAAAGGTCTCTGGGCGGCTTACAACAATTAAAATACAATACAATTTAGAACAATTAAAATACAATTAAAATATATATAAAAATTGCCATCGGACCCACAGCTAGTATTATTTCATAAAAGGTATGAACAATTTTTTGTTTTTATGGATTCCTCTTTTATAGAGCTAAGCATTCCACAATACAACTCAGTGAAGATACAGTAACGTAAATAAGTGTAACCTTAATGTTACAGAATATGGTTTTCTGAAATCCTTGAAGATCCTACTGCTGGTTCTTTGTGTTGATTGCTGTAGAAATCAAAACTAATGGGTCTCCAGCTTAGAGTTGTTACAGAGTCCGAGTGGCATGTTGCAGATAAAATCAGATGTTTGCGGTGTCCTTACTGTTTAATTGAGTATTCGGCTGCAGAAGAGTCATATGGAAATTCATATACAGCATAATTCAGTTTAAACACTAGCTAATAAAAATTAATCCTATTAAGATTTTTGATAGACAGTTTATATAAAGGTTAAATGGTATATGTTCTATGTACAGTGATTGAATAAGTTTGCTATTCATATTTACTGTCATTTGGTTCAGGGGTAATAACAGTGAGCAGCTGAAAGCTATCTTGTATATCGGAAAACTCTAGTGCTGGTGGTATTTCCATGTAGAAATTCACAAGAATTATGTTTGTTGTGTGTTGGACTGGCATCTTTTGGTTTGCTGTAACAGAAGAACCACTGTTGATATCATGACCATACCTATTGATACAAACTCCTAGAAAGAAGTTTCATTAGGAAGGAATTTTGTGCCATGCAGTGGCTATTGGTGTGAATAACACTTTGGAAAGTTTTGTTGTTATCTCCTAATTCACATAGGGAATACATTTTTGTATTATATAATATTGTATAATGTCACTTAGCCTGTATTTGTTTCTTTTGTTCTATAGCTTACAGGAGTACTTGATGACTGCTTATGTGATATAGAAAGCATTGATGAATTCAACAATTTTAAAATCTTCCCCAAAATACAGAAGCTTCAAGAACGGGATTATTTCAGATATTACAAGGTAGAGTAAGAATGACAAATTTCTATATAGTTGAGTGAAAAATGTTTGGTATTCTCTCAAATACTAAAAGGAAAAACAGGTTATACAGAATTGGTGTTTTAAATATTGAGTTTTTCCTCTGAAAAGGCTACATGTAATAGTGACAAGGAAACATTGATTGGAGAAAATGAAAGCACTTATTTTAAGATCTGGTAATATAGATTTGGCACATTCTTACATATTAATTTAAAAACTTACCTATGTATATTTGTTTTTAGTTCAGAATCTTCATTTGCTTTATGTTGGAACCAGTTGAATGTGCCAGCTGTATAACTGAAGGATTAGATGAAGATCTAAGGATTTACATTTACCCTGTTTCCCCTAAAATAAGACCTAACCTGAAAATAAGCCCTAGTATGATTTTTCAGGATGCTCGTAATATAAGCCCTACCCCAAAATAAGCCACAGTTAAGTGAAATCCTATCCTCCACCATTGTGCAGCAACCAGAAGATGACGACATGACTGTATTTGAACAAATGTAAATTGTTGTAGTTGAAAAAAATAAAACATTCCCTGAAAATATGTCCTCATGTGTTTTTGGAGCAAAAATTAATATAAGACCCTGTCTTATTTTCGAGGAAACACGGTAGTAGAGCAGTAACGTGTTTGTTTAAAACAGTGACAACCATGCACAGCTAATGACCTTCAGTGCTTTTCTGTTTGTAGTGAAAATAGACTGAAGTTCGATAAGCTGTATGACTTTCCGCTAATGGGGAAAAAACTGTGTACTATATCTGTTAGTTGTGGGATTTGATTTTGATAAATTGAAGGTTATATGTTTCTGTTTCATAATACTCAGTCAACAGTGGTATGTTGTTGATTTTGAAGTTTTATCCATTACGAAGTTTGGTGACTGCTAACATCACTGCCAGCTGTGACGGAAGTTGTGTGCTCTTAAAACTGGCAGTTTTATATTGCTCTCTTATTTTTGTTTGTAATTTTAGTCCATCTACCTTCTCATCCAGCCATAAAATGACTGAAAATAACAACAAATTACAAATGATGATGTTTAAAAACAGTGTTACTTGAGTCCAAAGATTTCTTGCACAAATGGAAAGGCACTTCCACTTGAACAAGGCACAGTTCCCCTGGCTTGCTGTTTCCCCCCACCCTATGCCCATGGTCTCCAGAAGACATTTCAGTGCAGGAACAGTATAAGCTAAAGAGATGCTTCTTTGAAGGCAATCATGTGCTTTTAATACATACTATATTGCCACCAGTCAACAGACCAGCTTTGTCAGTATACTGTACTTGTATGATTAGACACTAGAGTAGGCCTGTTGGATCAGTGGAACTCAGGGTGTGATCAGACAGTGTGAAAGGTGCACATCCAGTTTCACTGAAAAAGGTCACTTTGCTGGGAGCAGTATCCCTTAATCCTTCCATCTTGTTGGGAAATGGTTCTAAGCCTGCACCCAAAAGTAGTAGTCTTCAGTCTTCAATGAAGAAGCTACTTAGATGAGGAGCGAAAAGTTTCAGCCTAATAAGTCCAGTTACTATGATTCAACTTCTAGATAACCTTACCTGGATGATGGAGAATCTTCACAGAGTATTTTGGTTCATTATTTTTTTTTAGTATCCAGTAGCATTTCACAGATACCTGACAAGCTACACAAGTCATTGTCTAGATGTATGGACTCTATTCATTTTAGGTTTGTTTATATTTAACCAATAGGAAAGGCAAGGAACTGATAATTGTATTAATTAAGCTTGCTGCTTCTGAAAATCCTCATTCATATTGTAAATTTCATACTAAACTGCATCTATAGCTCACTGTTTTGCAAGATTTGTGACTTGTGTGTATAAAAGGAAGTATGTGATCTGAAAGCTTTGCCTGTCAAACCTAAAATGGAACTTAACTATTTTAAGTGCAATATGCAAACAGACCTGGTTTAAATAATGCTTTAATCTTTTAAGAATCTGTAAGTGGTTTGTATCATTTGAAGAAGCAGCTGCATCCCTGGCAAGTCTTTATGCCATGGAAAAAGAGGATTAAGGATATCTGGTTTTTAGAGATTGTCTTTCTTGTGTACTGATACTGCTAGTGCTATTGTAGTGATTTAGAATTGACTTTTGTGGTTTAAAGCTCAAGCTTTGCTGAAAAATAACTCCTTGCAGTTTAATCTGGACCTGCTGGGTTTGTTAAATTACAGATATCATTTATGTGGTTAATCTCCAGATTTATAAATTTATTTTAATTGTTTTATTCTAAAATATTACAATAATATAAACAAAATTCATACACCAATGAAAGAAAAATACAAGCAGTTCTGGCATTTAAGACATAGGCTCAAAGCTATATTAATAGCTGGAGCATAAGAAAGCACTTGTTAAATGCATTTGATAGTTAATAAATATGTATTCATTTCTTCAGTTACCTTGTGATATCTGTTACATAGTTTGATTCATGACAGTGGATCCAAGTTACAAACAATTGTTTTATTTTTCAATAATTTGTCCCTGTCAGAGGAAAGGCTAAAATCCTGTTCTTCAGTGTAGTAAGTCACAAAAACGGGCACATTGAATCAGTGGGGATTTGGTGGATCAGGTCCTCTGTTGGTTCTGTTCATTCAGTGAGTCTTTTCTGGTTGTGAGTTCCTATTGTAAGCAACACGATTTCAGCCAAAATGTATAATCATGAATCTTTCTTATCAATAGGTATAAAGAACTTTAAGAATTGAATAGATAGACTAATGAATTTAAAGGTATCCATAACTAAGAAAATTAATGCTACCTATTGCTAGTCTGTATTTATTTTCACAATCATCTTTCTGATTGGTTTAAAAGATAAATGGACAAGTTTATATGAAATGATATATTAAATGAAGTAGACTAAACAAAGGTTATTTTTACTGTATTTTATTTTGAGAGTCACTTTTTCCTCCTTCTTTATGAATGATGTAATTCACAGAATTCCGGTTCAGCAAGTATCAGGGAAGTTGCTTCATTTGAACTTTGAAATCCAAATTTTCATATTATTTAGTTGATCATGTAAGGTGAAGGAAGGGGATATAGGTAACCTGCAATGACCAATATTTCCTTGAGTAGTAGAGTTGGTTTTGAAAGGCAAACTCTGAAGGAAAAGCTTTCTCAAAAATCCCTATATACCAGTGGATTGGAAATGGGCTTTGTTTACTGATTGCATAAAACACAAATACATAGAATTTTGCTGTGAAATTCCCTAAACCTTGGACTTGTTCCCTGTCTACAAAATGAATTCAGTAGTTTAGGAGTTTTTCTTCCTAACGTTTTGCCAGTCTCTGTGGCCGGCATCTTCAGAGGACAGGAGTAGAACTCTGTCAGAACTCTGTCTGAACCATCTACAGTTCTCTTCCATTGTCTGTTTCTTTACTCTGGAGATGTCAGGCACTGAATATCAGATATACTGAATACAACACTTATGCTCTTCTGCTGAGCTAATGAGTGCTTGGCACCTTTTCCTTTGTTTTGAGTGCAGTGTTTCTCAAAAAAGGAAAGGTCTCTGGTGACCTTTGGCAAGATTGGCTAATGAGGAGCTAGTGTATCTTCAACTGCTTTTTTTCCCAGGACTGCAAGGGATGATATGGAATCTAATTGCACATTTAATGGCAGACTAAAGGTGTACCTAGTTCAACATTCCATTCCCTGAATGGCCAGCCCTATGGAAAGCCCTGAAGCAGGACATGAGCAAAATGGAACCCTCCCCCTTGTGTTCCCTTACAGTTTGGTTTTGGTTTTTAGGTCTGTATTAGTTTTTTGCAGTTGATACGGCAGGTGTATTCTTAATATTTTTCGCATTTTACTGATGTTGTTTCCAAATGAAAGGTTACAATGTTTTTTGCATGCATCTGCGCGCACATAAAGAAATGTTTACAGATGATTATAATGTTGTAAGGATGTTTTAAGAGCAAAGTAAATGAAAACCTTAATTTTTGCTCAGTTTTTCTAAACTCACATTTTAGGATTCATTCTGTTAAAGAAATGGTTCTCCATTTTTTAGTTCATGTAACACAACTGATACCAGTATATCTCCTTTAAGGTTAATCTGAAGAGACCATGTCCCTTTTGGGCAGATGATGGCCATTGTTCTATCAGAGATTGCCATGTGGAGCCCTGTCCTGAGGTATGTATTTAAAAAAAGAGAATATTCTGGCTTTCTTCTGCTTTTGCTCTCAAGATGAATTATGCCAAGAACTATGAGACATTTATAAAATATTGCGCTGTATCCAGTGTAAGTTGTATATACAGTAGACCCTGAAATGAACAGGATCTGTTTGTCTCTACTAGCATAAATTGAACTTCAGTGGGTCTTCCCTTTCATGGCTTAGCCCATTCATTTCAGTGTTTATAAGCAAGATTGAGCTTTAAGATACATCTAAAGTTGTAGAAGATGTTACAGTTTTTCATTGATAATATTTATTTATTATTCAAAATATTTCTATGCTGGCTTTCTCCCCAAAAGGACCCACGGCAGTTTACATTAAAACAGTATTTAAAACCTAAAACAATAAGTATGCAAATATTTAAAAATAATTAATCAAGTTCTATATTAAAATGGTAACTAAGATCAATATTAAAACACATTTAAAACAGCAGAGTACAACAGTCCATTTAAAATCCCTCTCAGACCACCAGTTGTTAAGGAAAAGCCTGCCTGAAGAGAAAGGTCTTTGCCTGCCTGTGGAAGGACAGCAAAGATGGGGCCAGTCTGGCCTCCTGAGGGAGGGAGTTCCAAAGTCTGAGAGCAGCAACAGAGAAGGCCCTCTCCTGTGTCTCCATCAAGTTCATCTGTGAGGGTGGTGAGACTGACAGAAAAGCCTTCTCTGATTATCTTAATGCCCAGGCAGGCTCATAGAGGGAGATGCAGTCTTTTAAATACTGTAGCTTGGACCCAAGCTGTTTAGGGCTTTATAGATTAAAACCAGCACTTTTAATTATTATACTATGTTTTAACTATACAGTGGAACCTCTACTTACGAACGTCCTTACCTACTAACAATCCAACTTACAAACAGCTCCATTCGCAAAATTTTGCTTCTACTTGCGAACAGAGCTTCAACATACAAATGAAAAAAGGCAGGGGAAAAGGGCGGGCAATTTAAATTTGCTAACCGTTGGTGGCAAAGAGGCTGCTTCTTTGTAGCTCTTTCGCCCCAATGGTTAGGAAAAGGGAGGCTCAACCTCCCGGGCTTCCACCGCTACTGCTACCGCCTCTGGGAGGTGAGCCGCCAGACCATCCTGGCTGGGCTCAGCTTCCTGGGCTTTCAGCGCTGCCGCTGCAGGCTTTCCTGGGGCTCGCCACAAGCACCGCCTTTCTCCGCCGCCATCCGCTGCTGGGCTTTGTTTGTTCATTTAACCTTTTAAACTTTGGAAGTTAAGAACAACTTGTGAATGCTGAAAGTGAATATTATATCATTTTCCCCTTCCAGAGTAAAGTACCAGTTGGAATTAAAGCTGGAAGTGCTAACAAAGTGAGTAATCGCTTCTTAAGTAATAAATCAGGATAGTTTTGTTAACCTTCCTCCCAAATTATGCAGTGGTCAATTGCAGTGCTTCAGTTGCCAGAGCTTGCTGCTGTCCCACTTTCAAGAACTGCTGTTGCATGGTGCAGTGTTTACCTTCTGGGGAAGTTAGTGATGAGGCAGGTTTTCAATAGCTTTTTTGTATATATGTGTTTTTCTTTTCTTCTAGAGCAGGGGTCCCCAACCCACAGTCCGCGGCCCAGTACTGGTCCATGGGCTTCCTTGAACTGGGCCGCAGACACGGATCTCTGCCCCCTCGCATGCATGCACGGCGGGCATATCACGCTCACGGAGGGAGCATGTGACACTCACGGGTGGGTGTGTCACACTCACAGAGGGTGCGTGTGACACTCATGGGTAGGTGTGTCACACTCAGGTTGGCCTGTCGCACTTGTGCACATGTGCAACACTCCCCTACGTGAGTGTGACACCACCCACAAGCATCACACGACCACCTGCAAGCGTCACACAACCACCCGCAAGCGCAGAGGTGTCCCTGCCGCCCACACACGGAACCCACACACCCCAACCAGTCCACGGTCCCAAAAAGGTTGTGGACCGCTGTTGTAGAGAGTGTTAAAGCACTGCTAGAGAGTCTCAGATGCTTCTTTGCCATGGAAACGCAGTTGATCCTTCTTCTTTTTTTAACTTCTGTTTACCAAGAAGAAGGGAAAAAAGGTCTAGCTTGGTTGCATGGGCAGCCTGTTTATGAAGCAATAATAATGTAACTTCCCCCTGAAAAAGTCACTTATGAAATTTTCTGTAGAGAAAAATGTAAGGCAAGTACTGAAGAAGAGCCATTAACATATGCTTTCACCTGTGTTTTCTCTTTCTGTATTCAAATATGTCTGACATTTGATAATACAGTCTTACAGCACTCAGTTCTTTAGTACAATAAGGGACTTGGGGAATGTCAATAAGGATAAAAATAAAAGCTCTTATCTCTCGCTGAGAGGGTGGTAATGCTCTGAAAAATGAAGTCATTTTATTTTTTATAAGCTTATATCCAAATAATAAGTCATTATTGCTTTAAACAAGTGACAGAAAAATTCCTTAAGAGTTTAAAATGAAGAATAACCTTGTTGAACATATAACCTGTCCCTGTCTTTCAGTATTCAAAGACAGTAAATCATACCAAAGAACTTGAAGACTGTGAACAGGCTAACAAGTTGGGAGCAATTAATAGTACATTAAGGTAAGCCCATTTTCGGAATGTAAATTGAGAAAGGTGAGGCCTATAATTTGGACTAAAGAAAAATGGTGTAACGTAACAGTGGCAGATTGCAGCTAATTACTGAGACCCTGCTTTGATTCCTCTTTCTTTGCCAGTCCGGTGGCTTGGTGTGTGGCCATGAACTCAAGCAGGAACTCATTAATGACAGTTTGCCACTAGGTTATGACATTTCCCTTCTATCAGGGTAACTGTGTAACTGGATTTTGGCTATTTGTGTTAAACATGACTTACTCATCAGACACTTATTTATGGTATAGCTGTTATACTATTCCAATGAAATCACAAACCTGATGAACACAAGCAACAGAAGATACTACATGAAATCAATGTGACAACCCCAGACCTACTGGAGACACTTATTTATGGTATAGCTGTTATACCTATTCCAATGAAATCACAAACCTGATGAACACAAGCAACAGAAGATACTACATGTTACTTTTCAGAAGTCATCTTATAGCAATAAATAGGATTTGTCCACATGGAGGCCAAAACACCTGTTTCTATACTGCTTTGGGTTGGCGGGGCCTTCACTAACCACATAATGCAAGGTTCTGTTTGTCAATATCCATACTTTTTCCCTTGCCATCTATGGTTTTGATCTTTATGGCAGTGTTGAATTATATTATAGTGAGCTTTGCTGCAAGAGACAGAGCTTAATCCTACAGCACTTTTTATGAAGAGTTCTTTTCTGAATTGGCATCTGTCGGCTAGAAGAAAGGTTTTAATAACCTCATTAATAAGTTTTAAAAACAGACCAAAAGCCTTCAGAAGGAAGGAGGCACCAAGGAGGTGCATTTTTATTTATCTATTACAATATATTTTACAGAGAAGTTACTTTTTTCCAGTGTAGATGCAAATAACAGTAAGCCATCAATCCGCCTTTGGCAGGAACCGCAAGCAACTGTATTCATTTACTCTGGAACCTGCTCATCAGGAAAAGCCCATAGCCATTAATTTGAAGCTTGCTTTCAGGGTGTCTAATAATCTTTTCCTTTCAACCAAAACCTGTCTGCTAGTTCTTTTTGAGACTGCAATAGGTATGTATTCTATCCTCGTCTCAGCAGTAATATTTTGATTCATGAATAAAATAAATGTATATACAAATGAAAATACCTCTGATTCCATCTATTAGAGCTCTTTTTTCTTCTTGCCTTTCCACAGCAACCAAAGTAAAGAAGCATTCATTGACTGGGCCCGATACGATGATTCACAGGACCACTTTTGTGAACTAGATGGTAAAATTGTTCTATTGAATCATATCTTTCTGAACCATTTCTTTTTAAATTTTCATGGAAACTTGGAAATTGTATCCACATATTTCACAAAGAGTAATAATTATGTGCCATCAAGTCAATGCCAACTTATGGTGAACCTTGCCATGGTTTCTTGGGTATAAAGTACTCAGAAGTGATTTACTATTCCTGTCTTCTGGTGAGAGTCTAGGACTTTGTAGTCTAGCTCAAGGCTACACTTAGCTGGCTGTTCTCTCAGGATGCACAACATGGAATTGAACTCCTGTCTCTGCAGCCAGGTACTCCAGCTCACTGAGCTGTACAGCTGGCACAAGGAGGATGGCCAAAATCCTGTTGCACCATTAACACAAAGGTGCATCTCTTGACACATTAAGATCTATCCATAGGCATTATCTGTTCCACACTGAGTCACACAACTCTGTGTTCAATAAGTAATGCCTACAGAGATTTCTTAACTCATGGCAATTTGCTGCTAAACATTACACCTTTTGCATAAGTGCAGAACATGATTTTGACCAATGTGTGTCACTTACTCTAAGAAAAGAGGCTTGGTTCTAATAATTGCCCAAATGGAATTGAGTCAAGAGCTTAAGTGCATCATTTATCATTGCTTACTTGTCTGTTGTTTAGGACTCAGAATACTTTGGTGATATGTTCAGGACTTCTCCTTATATGAAAAATTGCTTTCACAACATACAAGGGATATATTAGCAGACTATGAGAAACCTCAAGATTTGCAAAAGTTACTGAAAATTTGACTCTTACATTGTTTTATAGAAAGTGATTGTTGATAATGACAATAATTCAAGATTGTTGCAGTTTTTACATAAGCTGGATAATTCAGTGCTTGGAACCACCCTCAGAGTTCAAACTTGATTGACCATGTTCCTCATGGGAGAAGAGTCACCCTATGCAGCCTTGGTACATGGTAACAGTGTGCTAGCTGAAGGAGAGACTGATAAACTGCTTCTGGGTATTCTATACCTAGAAAATCCTGAGAAAATTTCCATAAGTCAGAGTTCACCTGATGGGACATACTGTATATCTGGTTGTTGTTGTTGTTTTACTTTAATTGACTTTTTGCTATCTCCATTTCATATTGCTCTTTCTGTGGTACTGGAACAAGAACAGAAACAACCTGAGTGTTTTGTTTTCTTTAGATGAGAGATCTCCTGACGCTCAGTATGTAGATTTGCTGCTGAATCCAGAGCGTTACACTGGATACAAAGGGCCCTCTGCCTGGAGAGTATGGAACAGTATCTATGAAGAAAATTGCTTCAAGTAACTGGGAAGGGAGGGTAAAATTGAAACAACTCAGTTCTTTTGGGTTGAGAGGACATATTTCTAATTGTTTTCCTCACCTCTTTAGGCCACGATCAGTGTATCGCCCACTCAATCCACTGGCACCAAGCAAGGGTGAGTAACTAGATACTTTGCTACTTAAGAATGGCTTTGAAAGTTCATTATAACTGTATTATTCTGGAAAGCAGCAAGACCTTAATAAGTAAGATGGTCCACTTGCTTAGGCTTAGTGAGGATACTTTCTCATATTTCCTTGATGTATATTCTTCCTTTTGTCAAGTGTTTTCAAACTAGCTTACAAAATATAGTATAAAGTTTAAGTGTCTAACATGTTGAATATATGAATACAAATGGCAAAAGTTAAAATAGCAAACAGGTAAAATGAGAAATTAGCAGAGTCTAAGCACCACTGAATTACTATGTAAACAGAATAAACTTCATCCTAAGCACCACTGAATTACTATGTAAACAGGATAAACTTCATCATGATGAAGACACCAGCTAGCGTATCTCTGTGAAGAGTATCAGTCTGGGGACCATCACAACAAAGGCACTCACTCTCCTAGCCATTGGCCTACTAGCATTGTCGCTACAAGCACACCAGGAAGAGCCTGTGAACATGATCCCAACTAAAAGGGATGCATAAATCATGTCTTTCTCTTATCAGATACCCAGTCTTAAGCATTGAAAGTTCAAATGAGCATTTTGATAAATTGCATCCAAAAACAAATCTGAAGATTGTGGATATTTTTCAGTAAATGAGTGATATGGGTTCTGGAAACTTCAAATATCACATTTAAAGCTCACTATTGGAGACTAACTGGGTGTTTACTAGAGCACACATTATTATTTTCCTCTTTCCAAGAAACAGTGCAGCCAGTGCAGTAGCCATAGTTAGTGAAATGCATTGTGGACTGCTGCTTATAGATCAATCATCAATTGCTTCATTAACTTGTTAAGAAGCAGTACTGTCTTTAAGTCAGGAATAAATATAACTTCAGGCATTTTGTTGATGTAATTGGAAAAAATCTGTCTTTTTCCACCTTTTTTCATGCTGTGAGAGTTTATAAATACTGTATTGGTAAAATATTAACTTGGAGGGTGCAGAACAGGTTTCTTTGGCAAGTTTGGCCTTGCAAAAAGATATTATTTCATAACCTGAGATTCCTGAAAATCATTCTTTGACATGCTAAACAATTCTAAAAATATCCATTAAGTTAGCAAATAGTTAAATATTGGGATTTAATACTGTATTTTGTGTCTTTGTTCATGTTTTATATGGTAAGAGACAGATGCATTATGACTTTGGTCTCTAAGTCCTAAATGAAAGAACTGGTGGGCTGAACAATAAATTGGAATTTTAGCCTTATGAATAGTAATAGAACAAAAATTAGTTTTTATTTTTAAAAAATATAAATAGAATAAATTTCTGTTTATCCATGATTTTGCTTTCTTTTTTTCCAGGAGAAGATGATGGTGAGTTGTCATTATATAATACTCTTTTGCTTCGTCTATAGCCGCCTAGAGTGGTCACAAGACCAGATAGGTGGGATATAAAATAAACAAACAAACAAACAAACAAACAAATAAATAAATAAATAAATAAATAAATAAATAAATAAATAAATAAATAAATAAATAAATAAAGGCTTGGGGCAAATAAAAATACAACATATTCTCGAAGGCTTCCACAGCCGGGATTCAATGGTTGTTGTGGGTTTTCCGGGTTGTTTGGCCATGTTCTTAAGGGTTTTCTTCTTCCTAACATTTTGCCAGTCTCTGTGGCCAGCATCTTCAGAGGACAGGAGTCTGAACTCTGTACAACAGTTAAAATATAATAGATATAAAATTTAAAACAACAACAGCAAACAAAACCTAAAAGGTTGGTCTCAGACTTCAGGCCTTTCTTCCAGTTGAGCTACATTTAGGCGTCTGTAGAGTATCTGAATTCCCAAAATTGAGAAAATCTGAATATCCCATTTGTACCTAAAATTAACATTTTATTTAGTGTTGCTGCTGCCTGCAGAACGATGTTTGGATGTGATATATAGCTGAACATTTTCTTCGTATGCCTAGCCAAAAGGATGTTAATTCTGCATGGGTATTTGTCCTTAACACACAAACAAATCATTGACTCTCTGGAAATTTTTATTACATTGGGGAAATTCACCCAATGTAATAAAAATCAACAAAATAAGAGTTGAGTTTTCCATGTTGTCTGTATGGATCCTATGCATCTTTCCACAGAAGTGCATACCACTCAGTTTTATTGGGACTCATATTTTCCTTAAATGTTATGGCCTGAGGAACTGTTTTGGTTCACATCACTGGATATTTTTAAAATGTGTAATAATTTTGATACTCCTAATGTGAATTTTTGTGTTCACAGGAGAATCATTCTACACATGGCTAGAAGGTAAATATATTTTCCTGTGTGCGCGTGTGTAATTTTATAATAGAAGAGAAAAACTAATGGATCTATTATCAGTCAGAGAGTCACATAATGTCTTAAAACCTGATTTATTTTCTTATTTGTTACTGATTCTTTTTAAAATTTTATTATTAAAGCCTGTTTTAAAACCTGAAGTAATGCCATAGTTTACTTGTTAGTCTTTAAGACTCCACAGAGGGTGGATGCAGGGGGGTTGCAATGATGCAAGTGACACTTTGCTACTGACATTAAAATGTGTAAGAGTGGAAGGGGTCTTTTTTTAAATGAAGTGTTCAGGGGATTTTATAAGCTTTAGGACTCAGTCAGCATATAAGCTAAAGATAATAAAGAAAATTATTATCTCCCATAATAAGCACGAGCAAGGTGGATGTTTATCAGATAGTGGTTTTTCACAGTTGTATGCTTTTCTGCTGGAACCTCCCATCCCACTTCCAGTTCCATGCCTCTGGATCCAGTGTCAGCCTGGTTCACCTATAATGGCCCTTGTCAAGGGCTGCTCTCAAGATGGCTAGGATGCCTTCCTCTCTGTTGTCTTTCTGCTAGCAAACAAAAAGACATTTAAGTGAATAAGGCCTTTGGGTCTGTTGCTGGAGGGGGGTTAGTTGGTTAGTGTGATATATTTTATTATCTTTAGTTGATTTATTCTTACGTTTGGCTTTAACCACAAATGTGTACTTTAACTGCATTTTTATTAGATCGTTGACTGCCATTCTTGCAGGAAAGGCAGGATACAGAAATCTAATCAATAAAACTATTGTTTTCAATTGTGTGAAGGAGGTATAAAGAAACTTTCTGTATTCTCTACTTCTCTCTGTATACTGAAGAACAAGACGTTAAACATACCACACTTTTTCCGTGACATTCCAATTTGGGGAGCTAATTGGAAAGAGCAAAGCAAATGAAATCCTGCTTCTTCATGTTTTATCTTTTAATCTGTCATTTGGTAAATGGAAAGGCTTCTTATTTCTGTGTAAAACCTTGGATCCAGCAGAGCATCCTGTTGGTACAAAGGGTTAAAAAATACTTTTCCTTTTCTCCCACTAGCCCCACTGTTTTAGAATGTTCACAAACCCTCTAGAGCAGCCATTCTCAATTTTTCTTTTTGTTATGGCCGTAAAGACTATATGAAAGAAACATAGGCCAAATCAGGATTGTATAAGTTGAATAAGAAACCTTCTAAGGTAATTGAAGAATTTTTTCCAGTCTGTGCCTCCTTCAAATGTGCGAGCACCCACCCAGGAGGCCATATGATCCCCATTGAGAATGGCTGCTCTAGAGCACTGGTTCTTAACCTTGGGTTACTCAGGAGTTTTGGACTGCAACTCCCAGAAGCCTTCACCACCAGCTGTGCTGACTGGGGTTTCTGGGAGTTGCAGTTCAAAAGCATCTGAGTAACAAAGGTTAAGAACTACTGCTCTAGAGAACGCTCAAAGGACTGAAAGAGGGTGGAATCAATACCAGTTGTATCCTCCACTACTGCCAGTGGCAGCCAAGCCATTAACTACAGTTCCCCAAGTCTGATTTGCTTAAAATCTGTAGAAAGGTTTCTGGTCTCCACATCAGTATGAAAGAAAGTGAAGGGGTTATCACAGCTCATTTAAGTCATAGTGTATCATTACATCTGTACCAGACTGTTGACTGTGCTCTCATCAGTTCAATTTTAAACTTTTTTTCTATTCAGGCCTATGTCTAGAGAAACGTGTTTTCTATAAGCTTATTTCTGGACTTCATGCTAGTATCAACTTGCATCTTTGCGCAAATTACCTGCTTGAAGGTACTACATTAATCTCCATTTATAGTTATAAGAATTTAAATTTTTTATGATGTTCCATGGAAACAAACTTTGAACAATCTGTCACTATTTCTTCAAAATACTGTTTTTCTCTGTTCAGAAACCTGGGGCAAACCTCGTTGGGGACCGAATGTTAAAGAATTCACCCATCGCTTTGACCCTGCAGAAACAAAAAATGAAGGTCCACGGCGACTTAAAAACTTGTATTTCTTATATTTGGTGGAACTGCGTGCTTTGTCAAAAGTTGCATCATACTTTGAGCGTTCAGTTGTGGACCTTTACACTGGTAATTCCCAAGAAGATACAGAAACCAAGTCTCTATTGTTAGAAATATTCAGAGATGCAAAGTAAGTATGTATATTATTCCACTCTACAATTAATAGACAGCTTGATATGGTGAATTGAATTCAAAGAGTGAATTGTGTGAAGATGGAATATATTAAAACATATAAGAACAATAATCCAAGCAAAGCAGGGCCTTCCATTTCACTTCACTAAAGCAGGCTGTGGGAGCAGCAGAACTGCCACCTTGCCTTCACCCACTGACCAAGTCTTTACCAGTTGGGTAAGCACCTGGTGTCTACACAGTTCTTCAGAGTGGCTGCTCTGGTGGAGGTGCCTCTTGTCTGAAGGCAAATGTGGCAGGCCCTTTTTTTCAAGGAAGGAGGGAGATGGAGTATCAGTAGTGACAGTCAAAGGCAGGTTCTCTTAAAATGACTGGTTCGTTATTGCTTGATTCTGAGGATCTTCAGAGCCAGGCTCTATCAGGAGAGGTAATCAGGGGAATTGTCTGTGCTACTTGTGCAACTTTTCTTAGTACTTGAACAACTCTCAAAACTTGTCATGAAGGTACAAACCAGATTTACAAAGCCAGCCATTTACAGTGCATATTTTGTATAGTCTTCCTTCTTGGGGAGGTGGGGCCCACTGCCACTGGTGTTTATCTGGTGTTCCTCCTACTTTGGCGAGATGTTACCAATATTTTCCTCCTCTGTGGAATGAGATATGATCTCAGCTATCTCAAAGACAGTATCTACTTTTATGAGCCTGCCTGGGTGTTAAAATTATCACAAGGGCTTTTCTCTTGGTCCCACCACTCACAGGTATGCTTGGTGAGGACACAAGAGTGTCTTTTTTGCCACTGCTTCTAGACTCTGGCAGTCCCCCACATGGGAGGTCAGACTGGCCACATCGTTTCTGTTCTTCCACAAGCAAGCCAAGCCCTTTCTCAGGCAGGCTTTTCCTTAGTGACTGATGGTCTAGGAGAGGTTTTTAAATGAGATGGCTTGCATTTTGTTGCTTCTAAATCTGCTTTAGTGATACTTTCCCTAGGACTGAGAATATAATGTTATTAATTTATTTAATAACTGAAAAATTCTCTCTATTTCACTTTGATACTGTTTTTTCATTATATACACTGCCTTGGGTCATTTCATAGGAGAAAGGCGGGATTAAAATATTTTTATTAAATAAAATACAGGTATATACATGCTGCCAGTCCAGCACAGTGAGGGAAAAATGTCTCAGGCAAAAACAAACACTCATAATTTACACTGAAAATAGTTATTATCCTTTTCTACAACCATAGCAACTACTGGCAAATGGGAAAAAAAATCTGCTCTATTTAGCTGCTGTGATAATTCATGTGCAAACCAAGAATTCTTCCAGCTTTTTTGTATGCCCTAAATTTTGTTTAAAGCATGTACTGTTAAACAAGCTAGAGGATCCCCACATCTCCCCTCAGTGCCATGGTCAAGCATCTTATTCTGAGGAGGCCTAAGCAGTTTAGGGAGTCTTATCCAGTAGTTGGAACAAAAATATATGTAGGCTGGGAGGTATAATGTAATGTTTAAATGTTAATAATATGTAACATTATATCACTTAAAAACAAATTGACTTCATGGTGCTTTTGTGCTCACTGGCCTAAACACTGGAATGTATGTAATTCATTTAGGTTGTTTCCTATGCACTTTGATGAAAAGTCGATGTTTGCTGGAGACAAAAAGGGGGCCAAATCATTAAAGGTAAATATAAATGTTCACTGATATTTTTCCTTAAACAGTTCCAGGGGATTTGAGTCACCTTTAAAACCCAGGTGGGAGGGAGGGTAGTACAAAGATATTTTGAAAGTAGAAGTATGGCTGAATTTGGATCACAACTAAAAAAAAAGTCAAAACTGTGAACTGTGCCTTCAACATGTACATTTGTCTTTTCTGAGTTCACCTTGAGCAGGAATTCCCATCAAGCCTTGATCTTACAAATTCTCACAGATTTAAAAAGTACTACCAGGAATGGTCAAGGAACTTGCTGGACCTGATGCAGATAACTGTAGTATGCTGTTGCAAGTGGGCATCACAAGCTATTGTGTTCTTCTCCTAGGCTAGTAATAATGTTCACTTAAAGAATTTGCTGCTCTTATTTTTCCTTTGAAAATCACATTTGTAGTGTTTGCTGCCAAATGATGGCTGAAATCCTGTTGTGTAGTTGCACACGCTTTTAGACACAAATTGCCTAAGAAAGTTAAAAAATTTCTGTGGATATGTAACTTTCCATAATATCTATGGAAAGGTCTTAACTGATTTCAACTTGCATCCAAAAGCTTTGCCATTCACATAACTATGCAACAAGATTTTATTCAGACTGCATACTTCAATTTGCTACCAAATGATGGCTGAAATCCTGTTGTGTAGTTGCACACGCTTTTAGACACAAATTGCCTAAGAAAGTTAAAAAATTTCTGTGGATATGTAACTTTCCATAATATCTATGGAAAGGTCTTAACTGATTTCAACTTGCATCCAAAAGCTTTGCCATTCACATAACTATGCAACAAGATTTCATTCAGACTGCATACTTCAATACTTGTTTCCTTTCCGTAGAATAATATCAAGCATTATTGCTGCCGAAACAAAATGGAACTTGTGCAAAATTACCTAAAGAAATGGGTATGGATATAGCCCTTGTCCCACCATGATAAAGGCACGGAGAGTATCCCAACTGCCTTGTATTCTTTTATTCCCTTGTGTACAAATTCCCTCTTTCCCTTTTTGGATTTGTCAGTTGTTAGTCAGTCACTCATCAGTCATGATGAGCTTCCAACCAGTTTGCAAGCATGAGTAATAGTAGTTTTGCAAAGTCTGGCATCCAAAAGCTTTGCCATTCACATAACTATGCAACAAGATTTCATTCAGACTGCATACTTCAATACTTGTTTCCTTTCCGTAGAATAATATCAAGCATTATTGCTGCCGAAACAAAATGGAACTTGTGCAAAATTACCTAAAGAAATGGGTATGGATATAGCCCTTGTCCCACCATGATAAAGGCACGGAGAGTATCCCAACTGCCTTGTATTCTTTTATTTCCTTGTGTACAAATTCCCTCTTTCCCTTTTTGGATTTGTCAGTTGTTAGTCAATCACTGGGGGTGGTATGCTAATCATGATGAGCTTCCAACCAGTTTGCAAGCATGAGTAATAGTAGTTTTGCAAAGTCTGGTTTTTTGGTGGTTGTGGGTTTTTCGGGCTTTTTTGCCTCCAAGTAAATCCACTTCTGAAGGAGGCTGAATTCCTTCAGATGTACAGAAAGTGGAGTGCATCTTCTAACCACAGTTGAAGATGCACTCCTCTGCATCTGTGTTAGGCACAGTAACATCTTTAAAAAGCAGACTGGTTCACTGTCTTTAAAACAAGAGGGTTCTGACAAGTATCGAGATATGCTCTCAAAAGACATGTATGTGCTCATGCAACCCTAAAGGATACTTGAACCATGGCAATAGTGCATCTTGACACAAATCGGGCTGAATATGTCATACTCACACAGACTTATTCACAAAGGAAATTTTATTGAATGCAAAAGAATTTAAACTATAGCAAAGATTCAGCAGTAAAGTATATGATATGGAGAAATATACTCATGAAGCAAACTCACATGGCTGAGAGGGTTTTGAGATTCAAGTTGCTCTGTAAAGTGTTTGTATCCTGTTCTGCCCTTATCTTAATCTTTGCCGACTTGGCTAAGCCTATCTGATGGTCCAGAGACAATGCATAGGAAGAAGAAGATGGGTGTCTCTGTGTACAAAAAAGCACATTATTCTAGGGTGTTTGCTCTCTCAGACCTCCAGACAATCCTTTTAGCAGAAAAACAAAAGGAAGTCTGATCTCTCTAGAGGAGAGCTGTCCTGTGAGATGACTCTTTGGGTTTAGTATTCATGCTTTCTATGTAATTCTATAGAGGCCATTTCCCCTTGAGAGCGTGACTCACTTTGAGACCTGGGTCTGATTCTTCTTAGCCACCATTTTTAACTTACACAGTGCTGCCTCACATTGCGACGTTAATTTGATCTGCAAAAATCACTGCAGAACAAAAATGTCGCTATGCGATATTAAAAAGCCCATAGAAATGCATTGAAACTCCTTCAATGTGTTCCTATGGGCTGGAAACGTACCGTTCAGCGAAGATCCTCCATAGCACGGCCATTTTCGGTGCCTCTAAAGCGAGGAATCTGCCCCTAAACACAGCGGGCGGCCATGGTTTTTTCTTGGTGGCCATTTTGAACCTGCCGATCAGCTGTGCGAAAATGGGGGCTTTGCGATGATCACTTCCCTGCAATCATCGCAAAGCGAAATCCCCCATAGGGAACATCGCAAAAAATGTGTCACAAAGAGATTTCGTCGCTAAACGGAGCGATCGTTATGCGAGGCACCACTGTACTTGTCCTTGGCGTGAGATTTTCCAGTTAAAACAAATTGTGACATGCATATACATGTCTTGGCAAGAACAATGTGGGTTGCACAAACCTGACCAGTTTGGTAACAGTATCTCTTTAAACTAATGTCTCTTTTTATTAACAGGAAGAATTCAGGCTACATTTCAAGAACATATCCCGCATAATGGATTGTGTTGGCTGTGATAAATGCAGATTATGGGGCAAATTGCAGGCATGTAATTTCCTTTCAAATTTGTGTGCTATCATTCTTTTGACAGGCAAAATGACTTGTCTCTCTAGGCTAGCTATTTTTGATGCTTAATGGCTTGCACTTGTGGAACTTTTTTCAAGATAGGCTCTGAGCCCAGAAAAATACAAGTAAGGACATCCTTACTTTGAGGTTGCTTTGTGGTGCCATAACATGATAGTGTGCACCCAAATGTTTTCCATCTTGTTCACACTAAATATGTTCACTGGAAGACATCAAGCTGCACAGATTGTGAGAAAAGTTTGTTCTTTCACTGTATATAGAATATGTTTTGACAATAGGAGCGATACATTTATGAAAACCTTGAACTATATAGCACTTTAAGGCTATTTGCAGGGTTTGAAAAATCCAGGCAAGTGAAAAAACACTGCTTGACAAGCCACAGCTCCCTCCATCTGTCCCTCCCTCCCTGCCTCCTTACTCTCTCTCTCTCTCTCTGATCCTGCAGTCCTCCCCCTCCCTTTGCAAAAGGAAAAACAGCCCTCTTCTCACGAGAAGAGAGTTTGAGTGGCATATAGATATATAGCTCTGCAGGAGAATTTAGAGTAGTCCCATGCTGGAGTATATGGAGATTCCCTGCTCCCAATTTCAACCAAATGATCTGGCACTTTAAGAGGCTGGCGCTTTTGCTTTCAGTTTTATTCTTGCTGGAGACATTCAAAAGAAAGACATTCAAAATACAAACTTCATGACCCCACAAGCACACAGGTAATAAAGCAACCCAAGTCTGTGGGTATATTTATTTTGAGTTTGTCCTCATTGTTATGTAGAAAGTGCCTAGTTTAAACATAAATTGCAAGGCTATAGTCCGGTCATGGTGACTGGTGAAATTTTTGACTGACTGATGAGACATTCTAAAAATTTTCAAGCCCTGGCTATTTATGTTCTTTTCATTTCAAATATGTCTGACTGAAGAAGAGATGCTTGTATTTTCAGTGAGTAAAGAATTTACATTAAAATAATTCTTAGTATTTAATTCATTTGGAATTAACATGCTAATACAATCTGATTATAAAATGATACAGAGATAGGAAATTGCATAAAGGATTTTGTGGATGAGATTTGCATTAGTTCATAGACTTTTGTCTGAGTTTTCTGTAACTTTTCTCTTTTAGACACAAGGATTAGGAACTGCATTGAAGATCTTATTCTCAGAAAAAGAAATAAAGAATCTTCCTGAAAACAGTCCATCAAAAGGTTTTCAGCTCACACGACAAGAAATAGTTGCTCTTCTGAATGCATTTGGAAGGCAAGATACACTTTACATTTTAATGTAGCAGTGCAGTTGTGAGCTAAACTCTTCAATGTTATTTAAATTTTTTAATTCTTAGTTGAAATATTTATATACTGTATCCAAAGACCTCATAGCCATCTCAGAACAGTAACACAATGCACAATAAAACTATATGAATGTCTAAATTGAAAACTTCAAGTTTTAAGTTTAAACAAGACATTGGCCATTATCTTGTTTTAATCCTATTCATATTCACATAAGGCTTATGTAACTAGCTGTGGCTAGTTATAGCTTCTTGTTGAAATGCCTAGAACAGGTCTCAATCACATGGGTGTTAATGAGCCTGATTGCACAATAGAGTTGTGCCCCTTCATCTTGCTAATTAGCTACAGCAGAGTTGTGTCCCTTCATCTTGCTAATTAGCTACAGCAAGGTACACAGGGCTTCCAACATACACCAGTAGGATTGTGGCCAGTGTAAATAGGATCCCATTCTGGCTAGAGCCACTTTCCCCATTGCTTGTATTTTTGTTACCTTCTGAAATGGGATGATGATGGATACATTTAAGTAGCACTATGTGTTAGCTAGAGAAGGACCACTTCCTTCTTGTTCTGATAAAGTTTCAGTTTTTTCACTCACATTTCCATATCAACATCATTGATTTAGCACCAAAACAGGTTTAGGTAGAAAGGAGCGAGAAAGAGAGAGCTTGGTGTCACAAGCTCAATGTACTGAATTGCACTGAAAGTTGCAAATTAACAAATGTAGTATGCGATATAAGAAATATTTTTATCTTGAGGCCAATGGCAATTTTAAAATCTTTCTTTCTTTCTCCATCTATCACAGACTTTCTACCAGTATACGAGAACTACAGAATTTTAAAGTTTTATTACAACAGAGGAGTTAACAAAGACTTTTGTACCTTCTACTGGAAGCAACCATTAACTTGGCACCAAGCAACTTACAACCAATCTTTATACAAGCTGTTCTGATGGGGGAAAGAGCTAATATCAGCCTTAATATTTGAAGTAGATATGGTTTGTCATTGGACAGATATTTATGAATGAAGTACTTAATTTTAAACACATAAATTAAATTATGCTGATCTTCCACTGTTTCTTCTTCCATCTCTTGGAGTATCATTTGAAACGAACTGTTATTATTTTCTTCTACTTTATACTGCAACAGCTTGATCTAGACTGTATTGTCTACATCTTCTGTTTTGAAATGTTGCCCAAATATAAGTGATAGTGATATCTTAAACTGTTACATTTATTCGAAGGACCTGATATGGTTAGACAAATAATTTTTGTGTTCTGGTTGTTTGATTTGTTTTGTTACAACAATTTTTAAAAATGGCCAGTCAGGATTTTAATAAAACAAGTCCCTTGGCATCCAGGGGTGACCAGCTTGCTTGCTTTCTCATGTGTATTTTATTTCATTTTTACTTGGTATCTTTCCCCCTTTAATTCTGTTTGTTTCTATCACAGCTGCCTTCTCTGTGAGAAGATAGATGACTGGATAAACCCTGCACCAGAGCTCATTATTTTTTGTTGTAAACATCTGCTGAATGGGCCTTTTGTGTTAAGTGCTGCTAACATGAAATCTTTTGCTTAAGCATGGTGTTGGCTCCTTAAAATTAAAATAACACATTTTTTAAAGATGCCAGCTCCCCTTATTCTGCTGGTCCTCTGATTAAAAAGAGGAGAAGATAAATACTTTTCTGATACAGCCCCCCCTTTTTAAAAGTGTCCATTCTTTGAATTCAGCATTGCACATTCTGCTTATGCAATTTCCAGTCATACCTTATTTTAAATTTTTACAAATCTGTAACAAAACGGGTATTCTTTGCAGAAATTTGATTTTCAGTCACTACCTGCAAAGAAGAATCTAACTTTGTCACCACAGAACAATAGCAGACAACAAATACATTTTTAAAAAAGTTGTGAATCTGCAGTAGAGTTCTGTCAGTTGTGGCACAGCAGCTTATTCCAAAGCTGACTGCAATATACTATTTATATTTAGTGGTGGATATTTGAATACAGCATGAACATTAGTGTTGGTGTGGTATATAGACTTTGTACTATGTTTTGCTCTGAAAAGTAAAACAGTCGATACAAAATGAAATAAAAGTACTCTTAAACCCCTCTAATTTAAGATTTTTTTTCCAGCCGTTGTACTGATCTACATTTACATCTGCCATGCTTGCTTTTAAGCAACTTTGATCTGGAATTTGTGGTTTAAATATATGGGAAGGAGCATTGGTCATGGAGGAGCATTGTTTTTACTCAGCTTTATTTTTGCATAAAATTGGTATCTTACATAGTAAAATGAAACATTTTGATGGCATTTGATTTCTATGAATAAGAGTTTTTAAACTGAAATTTCCAGGTTCTTGAAGGGTAAACTGCAGGCTGTAATTAATATAAAACTTCTGAAAACAGCTATTGTAGACAAGCAGGGCTCAAATCTTTCTCTCTGTTGAAGAGTTTTGGCTATGTAACCAATTGGATTAATTTCCAGAGACAGCCATGCTAGTCTATTGCAAACAAACAAAACAGCAAGGAGTCTTGTGGCATCTTAATTCTATTTATTCATTTGCTGATTTTATTTTTATATATGTCTTTCTACTAATAGAGGAAACCAATGGAATCTGCAATTCATTGAAACAGTATCTGGAATTCTAATAGTACTTACGTAAGGTTTTGCACTTGCCATAGCCAATTGTAACCTGATGGTGGTTGTTTTGACTTATATACTGCTCTATAGTACTTAGAGCGCTTCTTGGGAGGGAAGCAATGAGAAACCTAGACAACATCTTAAAAAGCAGAGACATCACCTTGCCGACAAAGGTCCGCATAGTCAAAGCTATGGTTTTTCCAGAAGTGATGTATGGAAGTGAGAGCTGGACCATAAAGGAAGAAGAAGGCTGACTGCCGAAGAATTGATGCTTTTGAATTGTGGTGCTGGAGGAGACTCTTGAGAGTCCCCTGGACTACAAGGAGAAAAAAACCCTATCCATTTGGAAGGAAATCAACCCTGAGTGCTCTCTGGAAAGACAGATCCTGAAGCTGAGGCTCCAATACTTTGGCCATCTCATGAGGAGAGAAGACTCCCTGGAAAAGACCCTGATGTTGGGAAAGTGTGAAGACAAGAGGAGAAGGGGACAACAGAGGACAAGATGGTTGGACAGTGTCATTGAAGCTACCAACATGAATTTGACCCAACTCCAGGAGGCAGTGGGAGACAGGAGGGCCTGGCATGCTCTGGTCCATGGGGTCACGAAGAGTCAAACACGACTAAACAACAACAATTTTATTCTCCAAATATACTATCTCTCTCTCTCTCTCTCTCTCTCTCTCTCTCTCTCTCTCTCTCTGTCTGTCTGTCTGTCTATCTATCTATCTATCTATCTATCTATCTATCTATCTATCTATCTATCTATCTATCTATCTATCTATCTATCTATCTATCTATCTATCTATCTATCTTTACATGACTCATGAAGCAGCTATAGAAGATGTCTGACATTTTACACCTATTCAGCCAATAGTTAAATCTGTTTGTAAAGGAGCTAAACAGTAACATTCCTGTAGCTCTTAAATACGTCATTATTTTCCAACGGTTCATTGTTTCACTTCAAGAAACAGATGTTAAGACTTTCTCAGTCCTTCATCTCTGGTAGGCTACATTGATCAAACAGAAACCAACCTAGACTCTTGGGGGGCTATGACCATTAAAAGACATTCACCCAAATATCTAATGTGTCTAATCTAATTCTCAATGGAAATTTATAGTTGGCAAAAATCATGTTTGCAGTGAAGTGCTTTTTGGAAGAAGCAAAACTGAGTGAATTGCAAGAACAAAAATTTAACAGGGACATGTTAATTTAATGTTCTCTGAAGCTACCTAGGAGTAACTTTGAAATACAGATTACATACCTCATGGGTGATCATCTAACCTCTTTCAAAACCTCCAAGGAACGAGAATCCACCACCCTCTGAGGCAGTCCATTATGTTTAATGGTGCTCCTCTAGTGGAAAGCTCTTCAATCCAGCAGGGGCTCTAAAGCAGAATTAAAACTTTTTCACATATGCATTTGTCACAAAAGGTCAAGGAACCCACCAAGCTCCAGTTGCCCATTGTTCCTATAAAAATAGGATTCTTCTCTCATTTTTATGACCTAGCATTTCTTGGATGTCTGAATGCAGATTGCATATCCCCTTCACATCAATCATTGACTATCAAGCATTGCACTCTGTGGTCAGAAAATACTGCTTTCTACTAATGAGCCCTCTTTCTACTAATGAGCCCAGCAACATGAACCTCCTGTGGTACATTGTCCTATGGTGCCTCATCTGTTGACACTGGTTTTGTAGGGTCTTCTGTTTCATTGGGCACCCTCCTCTGCAGCTCTGATGGAGGTTTCAGTCAGCTTTCTTCATATATGTTGGAGTAAATGTAGGAAAACCATTAACTGTAAGAGACATTCAGTTATATCTACAGCAAATTGGAATGGCCTATGTGCGTCAAAAAGCTGAAATATATTTGCCCAATGAAAGATGGGAAACATGCAGGTTTCCACTTTCATTACTATTAAGACTTAGTCAGAGTTGGCTGATACAAGTTATCAGCATTTCTAATTGATTGTCTTGAGCATTTTTTAAAATTCTTGTTAAAATGTTCTGTCCTCAAAAGATTGGTTGTGTCGGCTGGCGATTATGGGAGTGCAGTCAATACATCTGAAAGGCATCAGGTTCAGGAAGGCAAAGCAATCCCAACTGGAGGAAGAATGTACTTATTTCCTCAATAATACTACGTATGCCTTAATATGAAAATAAAAGTGACTGTCAACATTTTGTCGACTGTTTGAACAACTTAATCAAGCACCTTTTCTAAAGGTACAGTACAGAGATTCTGCTGGAACATTCAGTAGACTCTTACAGTTTTTATTTGCATACCAGCATTGTCCAAGAAACTTGGTCAACTCCTGTTGACACATGTTATGCTGTACATTGTTTCATAAAGTGAAATTGACATTATAAATGACTAGTTCTGTACATATAAAAAGTGACATAAGGACAAAAATCTATAGATGTTTAGCAGTATCTCCCCACATAAAAATAATGAAACATAATACAAATTTGTTCTTTGAACCCAAAATCTTGTAAAAAAAAAAGTCACATATTTTAACTTCCTTACAAAAGGAGGCACTGACTTCAGTGAGAATTCTCCTACATGTAATTTAAGTACACATGCAAATATCTGCATGATCATAGCCTGAACGCCACTTCTTGCAAAGAAAATGTAATAACAGTATGGCTTCATAAAGGAGTCTGTCTTTTCCATACTTTCCCATGAGTTGTGCAAAACTTCTGCAACTTCTGCCCTGCTATTAATGCCGAACAAAGGAAAAAATGTCGTTGGGTTGGTGTTATATTGGGCTTGGTCTTTCAGTCTCTGGCACATAATCATGCTGCAGGGATCCAACATGAGCCAAGAAGTTATTGCTTTGATGCCCCCAGTCATAGTATTCAGGAGAGAAACTGGAAGAAAAAAAAATAAACACACACACACAACGAAATTAACTTCATAAAAAATAATCCTGATCACACACTCTTGTGAAGTTCCTGCTATGCATTTGACTAGACATACTTTGGTTCACAGAACTGCAGGCATGTTTGCTGCAATCCTGTGGTTCTTGGAATGAATGCCAACAGCATTTGGCCAGGAATTTGCTAGAGGGCCTGGGACTGCAAACGTAACACTGTGGCTTAGCCTACATTTTATACTTAACTGTTAATCCAGGTCATCTAAAGTTCTATAGTAACAATATCCAATTGTACTGAGATTCTAAAGCAGAGTACACATTTTCTTTACATTTGAGAAATGAGACAAAAGAAGAAAAATTCATATAGTAACATATTTGTGTTTTACAGCCTCTATAGCAGTAGTTTCCAACCCTGGATCCCCAGATGTTCTTAGGCTGAATCTCCTAGAAACTTTTATAACTTGCTGTGCTGCCCAGAATTTCTGGGAGTTTTAGTCCAAGAACATATGGGGACCCAAGAACATATGGGGACCACTGATCTATAACCATATTCGTTGGTCCTGGAATACTTTATCATGAGAAGTAAAAGTGTACTTTTGGGGTCTCCTAGTACTGTGCAATTTCATGAAATGGAGTAAACCAAACTTCCCAGTTTCTCTGGAGTACACCCCAAAATGATGAATTTGCACAAATGTGAGATATCATCCACACCTCTGGCATGTAATGATAATAAAGAGTAGGTTGAAATTATGAACAAAATATAGGTGGGACAAATTGTACAATCTTGCCAACATGTGTACCTATTTCCCATTTGAAGTGAACGGGGCTTTAAAGTTAGATTTTGCAACTCAGAAAGACTGAACTAGTTAAACTCACTTCTCCATTCACATTTTATATGATAAGACTTTCTAAATGTTGATCTGTAATTTTTAATCTTAATAGCATTAGATATCATTAACATTTTCACTTACAGCCTACCTGGCTCACTCACATACCCTTTCTGCACATTTTGCTTTCCTTTCCTAGAAGATTACATTCATTAAAAAAATAGTATGACAAATACCATTCATCTGTTGTTGCTTTATGCAAAATCACTGCACTTGTGCTGTCCTCACCTGCTATGTATGCTATGTGGTGATATGCTCCATGCCAAATCATCATCACTGTCATATCTACGAGGATTGTCAAAGAAATAAGATCTTGGATTGAATGCATGAGACGGCACTATTCCTGGATTTGTCTAGTAGGAGAGAAAGAAAAGTTACATTGCATTGCAGCCATTGATTGGAGTGTGTGTGTGTTTTGGGAGGGAGAAGGTTTGTGATTTGGTGTCCCTCTAAAACAGAAATGGAAACAGTTCACTTGTCAAGGCACTTTGGAAGAGAGCCTCGTCACTTTCCTCCCTCCCTGTCCCACATTCTGTGTTCTCAGTTCCAAACCGTTTGACTCCCTGAATAAGACAATTGCTATTTCAACCCTGTCCTCTGTTATCTCATGGAGCAGAAGATGGAGAATGGAATGGATGGGAACGGCCAATATGAAGATAACCCTTGAATAGTTTCCAGATTAGAATATGGAATATCCATGACAAACAAATGTTCTGGCTTCTTGCAGTATTCTGGAAAGTTTCAGGAGTCCCACGGTGTTGTCAATAAGATTTATGGAAACTCTATGAATGAGTGACCTCCAAAACTGTTTGTCATTAATAGCTCCACCCAGTCCTGCTAACTCATGACCACAGCTTTCTTTATAGAGTCAAGCCACGGCACACTGGGTCTTCCTCTTCTGCTGAATTCCACTTTTTTCCAGCATTATTTCCAGTGGGTTCTTATCTTTTCATGATGTGTCCAAAGTATGGCACAGTCTGTCTTTTCCATTTTTTACTTGTAAAGACAGTTTAGGTTTGCTTTGACCTGGGGTCCACTTGTTTCTCTTTCTGACACCATCCTCTCACATTCCATTTAGCTACAAGGATTTGTTTGATCTTAAAAATACTGTGCAGTATACAGTTGTTCTCAGGCTGTGGGACAAGCTTAAGAGCCTCTCTTCATGAGTAAGGCTCCTTCTTACGGACTTTCATCCTTACTACACTGAATTATGAAGTTCAGCATTATTTGCAATTGCTCTCACTTTTTATCCACCCAAAGCTGAGAAAGCTGTCCGCCTCTCTTCATGAGTAAGGCTCCTTCTTATGGACTTTCATCCTTACTACACTGAGTTATGAAGTTCAGCATTATGCTTTGCAATTGCTCTCACTTGTTATCCACCCAAAGCTGAGAAAGCTGTCTAGAACACTCATTTTGATTTGTGGTGGCACAAGAAGTCCATGGAGCTACCATGGCAATTATTTAGAGGCTATGTTAAACTGTGTATTATACATACATTAACGATTTCCCTTTCTGATACAGGCATTATTTCAGGTCATCTTCCCCTCAGAATCTGCACTTTCACCTACTGAAGTGCATTTTTATCGACTGTTCCATGAAATAGATACCTTGATTTTGTGCACTGTCTCTAAGGGGTACGATAAGTAATTGTTCTTATTTATTCTGTGTTTTCCAAACAGTCAACCAGCAACTCTTTCCTTTTTTATACCTCAAGGCATACCCACATTCTTGAATATTATCAGCTGTACTACTTAATATTTAATCACCTGTTACTTGTCTGAATTCTGCTGTCACACAGGGAGTAAGGAACTCCACATGCAGAGCAATCAGAACATGCATCATAAGATTATTTTAATGCATCATAAAATGGCCACAATATCATTTCTCTCCGCTCACCCCCCATTATCCCTGACATAGGTTAATCAAGCATTATTTTGTCATTTTAGCTTTGAGGAGAAACATGTCTTTTAAAAACCTGTTTATACCTTGTTTATTGTACCAAGCTCAGTGACACCTTAAAGATGACCAAATATTGTTACAAAAATTTATTTAATTTTGTTAAAATATTAATTAATTTTAACCACAGCGTAGACCATAACCTAATTCAGCAGTTATGAGAACTATGAAACCTAATGCTGTAGTAAAAGTCTTTAAGGTACTTCTGTGTTTTTTCCTTTGGTTTTGTTCCAGTAATTGACAATTACTGACAGAAATAGTCATTTCAAATGGAGAGGCATACATTGTCTTTAGTGAAAGTTGCACACATTACGTAGATAGTGAATTTGGATAAGGTAAATAAAAATGTAATGTCTCTTGAATAATATCTTTATGAAAGAAAATCTTAGATTCCCTCTGTAACTGTACATAAGTTGTTTGCACTTCGTTATATAAACTCCCTCTTGTTCCTATAGGTGATTACTATTATCCTGGGCTAGTACTCCCTCTTGTGGCTAAGTTTCAGAGTATTTAATGTTGATTTATTTAAAGATGGGAGTGTTGTGTTTCGGTTTGGTTTTAAGATTTTAAATATATTCATAACAAAATGTGTATTTCTCTCATTTTCCATTATGGAAGATTACTTAAATTTTTTAAAACATATTATTTTCTCAATACTGTTCTTAGGTCAATCTACAGTAAAAAAAATAATAATTAAAATCCCAAAATTCCCAATCAAAATCAACTTAACGAAACAATAATCAATAAACCAGTAAGCCTGGAATTTAGCAGGCAACAAGTAATATGAAAAAATGTGCAGGGCTTTACATTACAAGAGTCTGAATCCATATGCATAAAACAGAACAACTGAAATTGCTGCAGGTATGTGCAACTTACTGGTGATCTGCCAGGCATGTAATTAGGCATGCAACTAATATATGACCAATATGTCATTTACCACAAGTTGCAAACTACAACTAGTCACTGCAACTTTTATTCTTTAACTTTATTATTATGACCATAGGCCAGCCACATTAGCTACACAAGATTAAAATACAGCAAAACATACAGTACAATCAAATCAAAACAGACTAGAATTCAAGTCACAATTCAGTGCTCATTCTTAATCTAGTTAGTCATCTGTTTCCTTATTGTATACACTGCTGCACAAAATTTTGCAATTTTGGCTGTGGTTTCCCTTAAAAGTAATAGAAGAGGACAGAGGTATAAAATGTGTCTTGTGTACTTGGATAATATTTTAAAATTGGAGAAATGAGCAAATTGTAGGAGTCCTTATAAAATGCACAGTAGAACAGGACATCTTCAACAGTTTCCACCATGCCTGATTGGCAAGATCAAAGTGTTGGTTATAAGGAATATGTAAACATGTTCCTTCCAAAATATTTGAAGGCAGAGCATTGAAACAGATTAGGGTAAAAGCTCTCTAATATTTAGCAATTTCTAAATTATAAAGATTGTCTACTGGGGCAAAGATATTGCTATGATTCCCAGTGACTATACAATGTGAAGCCTGTGCTCTTCCAAGTTGGAGGGCTGTATTTCAGTTTTCTCATAATGTCTTTAGCCTTCAGAAGGCCCGGATATAACAGGGATTCAGGGGATAATGCGTAGGACAACAATGTTCACTCCACTGCTCTCACCCAGGCTGAGGGGTAGTTTTCTATTCAAATCAGAGGTGTTCATCCAAGAAGATGAAGGTTTAACTGCAGCCAGTGACTGATTATTTGGTACTTCAAGTGGGATCATACCAGCTTCTATTCTAATTAGGGCATTAGGGATACAATGTGATACACCAAAACAGTTCACGGGAATTTAGATGGTATGGTCTCAAAGGTGCAGAAACCTTTCTATATACATAGAACTGAGCCGTACATGGGTTGGGGCAGTACCTTACCTGGGAAGCCTTTTATTACAGGTGGTATGCAGGAGCCCCTTTTCAGAAAAACAATCTCAAGATGGCAGTAATAGCTGTTTGAGTATTTTCAATAACATGGGTATGATCGGCTGTCCATAGTGACTTCCATGTTTTTCTCTTAATGTGCATGGAAATTTTATAGGTTAAAAAATAAACCAGCACTTTGGAGTGGGCTGAGAAATGAACCAGGAGCCAAGGAAAACAACCCACATTGCTGCCATGGGATGTCATGCCTGGATCTCGCCAGAACTCCTATTGCCATATTTTGTCCTAACTACAATTTCTGGATCCTCTTCAGAAGCAGTCTCTTTCACTTTAAGCCTTCCTGTCCCCGTGTGTTAAGAGACGGGCAGGTACATGTGCAACTACAGCCTGGTGGCCAGTATTGCAGATGGTACTTGGGGCCAAGTAATATTACCCACCCAGTTTGAAGGAGATTATTCATTCTACGTGCATTGATGTGTAGTGGTGATCACATAGACAGTACCATGGATATATACGCATGCCTTGGTAATATTATGCCACCTTTGCTTTAAGTGTACATTTTAAGATCTGTCTGCGGAAGCAGATTTTGATCCATGAAAGCTGATGCTTCTGGGAAACTTGACACAGAAATAACTGCTAGTCTTCAAGGTGTCACAATGTTTTAATGCCCCACAGCTTTTCCTGTCCTTCCCACTCCCCGACCCCCACCTTTTTTGCCAATATGCTGAAATAGTCCAAAAAGGCTGCCTCTCTGGCAACATTAAAAATGAGTTCTTTAAAAGTATGCCACAGCGACCGACTATAAACTAAGACTAGGATAAAACATTCACTCTTTCCCAACCATAAAAATCAGAATTCAGATCTTTTACTGACAGTGAGAGTGTACCTAACTGGGGGTGGGTGGGGGGTTATTAACCATTTCCTCCAACTTAATAATGAGAGCAGAATGGGTGACGAGGTATCAAAATGCAGAATGTATCATTCAGACACCTGTATGGGCCAACCCACAAGGAAGAGAGGCATCGGTTTTACGTAAATCTGGTTAGAATGCGAAAAAAACAGCAATGTAAATGACAAATGGAAAACAAAATAGGGTAACTTACTAGATCTTTTGTAGAGTTCCGAACACGGAAGAAGAACACCACCAAGGAAGTGGGAAGGAGCTCCCATACAAACAGGATTACTCCGAATACTACATATCCAGCATCACCCAGCTGGCATTTCAGATCTGCCTGTGGCAGAATTAAAATAAAAGATGTTTAAAAGCAACGATTGAACTCAGCATTGAACAACCACACTACATCAACACCTGAGGTAAAATGTAGAGGGAAATCCTACCATATTTTATTTTATTTATTTATTTATTGTATTTATACCCCGCCTATGTAGTCATTTCGATCACTCTAGGCGGCTTACAACATAAAGGATAACAAGTTCAAGAAAAATTTATAACAATTAATTAATTAAATGATTCTGCAAGATGGGAAAAATACAAAATTAATCAAATAAAGAGAAAAAGAATAAAAAAGGAAAGAGGACAGGAATTAACTGGAAGGGAAGGCCTGCCTATACATGCAGAGACACAATCCTTGTTCAATCTCTGTTAACAGTTTATATGTCTAGATAGCTCAGTGGTTTAGGTATCTAGCTGCAGAGCCAAAGTTTGGGAGTTTGATTCCCCCTCCCAACCTCTGTGAGTAAAACCAGCCTATGTGGCCTTGGGCGAGCTGCATAGTCTCAGGGCACCAGAGAAAAATCTATGTCTTTTTCCAGAGGCTGCTCAGATCCATTTGGAATTTCCTTGGCCCAAATAAACCAATATGCATATCCAGACAAACAAACAGCAGATTCTGCATATCAGAATGTCTTGGTCAATTAGCACTTGGATCTTACTAACCTGCTCTAACCTCTGGACTTCAAAGCTGTAATATATCCAACATAAAGAACACAGAAAAATCTATGTCTTTTTCCAGAGGCTGCTCAGATCCATTTGGAATTTCCTTGGCCCAAATAAACCAATATGCATATCCAGACAAACAAACAGCAGATTCTGCATATCAGAATGTCTTGGTCAATTAGCACTTGGATCTTACTAACCTGCTCTAACCTCTGGACTTCAAAGCTGTAATATATCCAACATAAAGAACACACTGGGGAGGTTCAGCCTAATTCTGTCTCATAATGTTTGAAGGGTTGTAATTGTGAGATAAATAATGAAAAACGGGATCAGGTTTTGGGTTTCTTAGACTGAACCATAGCTGGAGACAAACATCACTTGTGAAAGCAAATTTTTCATTTAACAAGTATGTGGGCAGAGAAGTTAAACCTTCCCTCCTTAGTGCAATTCTCCTAAAAATTCCTTCACTGCTTGTGTTGATGTTAGCTTTGGGCAGGGCAGAGATGCTACCATGGATACGAAATACAGAATGAGTTCCACTGATGTAAGACATTCATCACTGAAACAGCATTTAAGATCTATAAAATCAAAACCCTTACTGGGATGAAATCTTGGCATCAGAGAACATTCCTTTATCTTTGAAGGCTACATTTATCGGAAAACCCAAAGCTCTGCTTTAGACTTCCATGTAATTGTGGATAAAGATACACTATGCCATAGTAACACTCCTAAGTATTTTTTTTCTCAAGGTAAATGGGTTTTATTTTCACTCAGGGCAAAACAGTTATGCTACCTGACTAACTCCACCAACTTCCAGTTTTAACAGACTCTAAACTACAAATCTGCATGCTTTTAAAAGTCCTACAAGTCTGCAATTAGATTTGTCTGTCTATTTTTAATAATTATATTTAAACCATTTTTGTAAGCGATTTAACGTTACAGTTACTATTGAAGTGCATAATACAAAGAAGCTGAATGGAGTTCCTTGAGGCAAATGATTCTTAATTGCAAAGCATGTGGGTGTGTAAAGAAAGGTGATGCCGTCAAACTTCAGTGCATGAATTAACATGTTGCCTGAAGGTAGTGTTTTACTTGCCTGATCAGAGACATTGTACCAATCATAATCGAAAGAATTCACTGTCTTGTTTTGAGAAAACGATAAAATAACCAGATTGTAACAGGCTCTTGAGGTATAAAGTAGTATAACTGTCACTCCTATGGTCGTTAACTGGCATACAGATGAACCCTGGAGAAGAGATGAAAACATGTTTTAGCATATTTAAGCTTTGCTATTTGCACAGGAAGAATGATGGAATACTTCCTCCCTCCCAAAAGGATAGATATGGGCTACAGCACTGTGGATGAGAAGCTATTAACAACCTCTAAAAAGACTTTAAGGAAAGCAAAATATGGCAGCTGCAAGAGTGAGTTAAATTCAGTTTTGCAGCTCAGGTGAAGGTTCACGACCCCATGGCCCTTTCCTTCCCAAATACCTAGCCACAGTGATGAGGGAACATCAGCATCTGGACCAGCACGGGTATGCCAGGGCACAATGATGGCCACTGGGGCACCCTCTCATCTAACTTTTTCAAATATGTTGTGGTTGCGGCCTGGCACCTAGCAATGTATGTGATTGCTGATGTTCACTTTATGATTCTTATTTTAGCAGCATTGATATGAGAAAGCCAGTATTGTACAATGTTAATGGTTATAGTATTAGATATGATACTCAAGCTCAAATATCTGTTCAGTCACAGTGCTTACTGGATGACCTCAAGCCAGTCACAGCCTCTAATATAAATCAATCTTACAGTGTTATGGGGATAAAAAGGGAGAAAGGAAGCACGACAAGCACCCACATATGTGATTGGGGGTCTGAAAATAAATAAATGAATACTAAAATTAACTGAAATCCTATTGCTTAGCACAGTAAGTCACACTAGAGTAGGCCCACTACATCAGTGGGGATTTGGACAGTCAACTCCTCCACAATCCACATTTGTTCAAATAGGTCTACTCTAACTGCAATTGGTTTTAGTGGAGGAAGTAAAGTATTATAGGATCACTCCAAAGGCCAGTCTAAGCATATAAATAAAATAAATATTTACTTCCTAGTAAGAACTCAACTGTGTAAATAAGAATGATAAGGTTCTTATAATGACAATATGCAATATCCAGCATTAAATCTTTTGAATACTTGTTGCTGAGAAACACAGGCAGGAAGTCAGAATTGCCCTCTCAGATCCCGCTTCTCTGCTTCCAATTAGCATCTAGTCAGCCCCTCTGGGAAACAGGACGTTAGACGAGACTGGCCTTGAGTTTGAGCCAGCAGGATTCTTCTTATGTTTCTATATTTATGAAGTTTGGTTTTGGGAGTTTTAATTAAATTAATTAATTAATGGCTTGATTTTATTATCTAAATTTGTATTTTAAAAAGAGAGATGCTGTTTGACGAATACAAGAGGCATAATTTGCCATTTATCTGAATATAGTGAAAGTGAAACGTGCAATACATTCTCTTTATTTCTTTAATTCATGTAATCTTTCAGCACAATCCTGTATAAAGTAGTAATTCCCACTGTGTTGATCCTTGGGAACTGAACAGAATTGTAGGTTTTACTATGAATCACCTTTTTGTCTGCTTACGTTTCTGGGGATCTCAAAATGTGTTCTAAGTGTCTGAGATTAAACACAGTAGCCATGAATTCTCCCATGTAGTCTAATTTCCTGGATCTACACATGTCCCTTTATAAAAAACATCAGATTGAAGAATTCTGCTGAGATAAAAGATTCTGATATTTTGGGAGGCACTGAAACCTACAATACAAAAGGGGTGAAATTGTGGTGAGAAGTTTTACACAGCAGGAAATACTTAAAAGAGGAATGTTTGTGTCTCAGTGAGCTTCTGAACAAGAAATTAAATGCTATGGAACTCTAAGGGGAAGACAAGCTGAGAGAAACTTCTCATCACGTTACACCAGAGTCCTTAATTTGATTAACAATGCAGCAAATATTTTGCACCTGGTGAATCCTCGTCAAATAGGAACTCCTATGCAAGATTACTGTATATTGTACTCAGTTATTTGTTTATGATACTGAACAGTTACATTTGGTCCCATCAGATTCTATACTACGCTAGGAATTCATCTTGATTTCATACTGGTCATAGCATCCTAAAATTTCTTTGAAAACTTTAACCCACAAAACTATAGACCCAAGACTGCCTGGGTGACAGAGTAGCCAGTGTAAATAGTAGTAAGAGTGTCTGATTTCACGGTTGAATCCTTACTTAGGTCATGAAGCTCACTAGTACCCACAGCTTTGTCTGTCTCACAGATATACTACCAGATCTTAGAATGTTAGATTTGAAAATAAATTAATTACACCTGAACGTTTAAATTGTAAAATTAACAAATTACTATTAAGAGCCTTTACGAATACATATTACCAGATTTTAGAATGTTAGATTTGAAAATAAATTAATTACACCTGAATGTTAAAATTGTAAAATTAACTAATTACTACAGTATTAAAGTTTAAAATCAAATTTTAGTTTTAAAATGTTTAATTTGTCAAATCAATGTTACTTAAGTTTTCATTAAAATGTTAGTCAGGTGTGCCCTCAATAGAGGACACATGTCATTCCACATTTTTCCTCCCTACAGGAAAAAGAAATCACCTATACTTCGCTTTTAAAACAATATTTGTAGTAGGTAACACAAACTCAACCCTATAAATGCCTCTGGATTACAAAACTCAGAAGCCTCATTAGCGCAGCCAAGAACCTAGGGTATTTCCTAGTGCTCCTGGAAGACATTGGCTGAAATCTTGTTGTGCAACTCCATGGGCATAAAGGTTGATAATGTCATCAGCTACAGATGTTAATTCTCAATTTAAAGTTTCCTATTCTTCCCTCAGGTTCCAAGGCTCCATACAGATCCCTTTCAACCTGGCTAAAGCTTTGGAAACCTCAGGAGACAGAGGAGAAGCCTTCCATATCTGAAAATCATCATTGCTGGTCCCACCATTCTTATTTAGCTGACCATTCTTATTTAATTGTAAGAAGGTTTTTTACTGAAAGTGTAGACCTGGTTAGAGGTTGCCTACTTTGTCCAAGTCAGCTGTTGAGATTATATTGACCAATTCCTGTTGGCCTCAAATCAATTCAAAGGGATTGCCCAACAGCTTTAAATATACACACAGTATATAAATATACAACTGGCTGTAGTCTGCTGCAGTTAAAAGTTTGGAAAGTAGTGTTGTTTGGAGCAAAGCTACAAATCAACAGCTTCTGTGCAAGACGAAGCTGGGATTAATTTCCCTGATGATGCTGGGAATTCTGGGAATGGTAGTCCAAAAGTAGAAATCTGCACAGCTTTACTCCCAGGTAAGTATACCCAAGACTGTAGCCGAAAGGCAATATAAAGGATATCTAGTCATTCTTTCTTTATATGAGGAAATCTTTGTTCAAAGACTGCTTCCTCTACCCACAGTGCCTCTACACATATGCTGCACTGCAATTTCCATCTAAGCTGGCAGGCTACCAGTTTAAGGCAGGATTTTTGAAACGTGGAGCTGAAATTGTCTGCTTTAATCTTGCCTCAAGAAGATTTGGCAGGGTTAGTAGATCAATCTTTATTCTTCAACATATATCACTCACTTATCTACCACCAGGTAGATCTCATCAGAACTTTAAAAAAATATCTGAAGTTATACTTTACCTTGGACTCCAAGTAAATATTTGCTAAGGACATCTTGGAAATCTTGTAAAGGCAAACGGAGAGCGAGATGGCGCACAGCACAAACAGTGTGTCGTTGATCGCCACTCTGACTAATACGATGATTTTCCTTTCTGAATTCTCAGTTCTTACCAGCACTGCACATGTCAGATTCACCAGCAGGAAAAGCAGACTGACGAAGAAGGACACCAGGTAGAGAGGCAACCTGAACAGGGAGGAAAGGTTTATTATTTTGGAGTGGATAACTTTCAGTAAGTATTCAGGAGAGGCAGTTGTATTCCCCACAAGGACATAATTGATGTAATTGTTAGGTTACATAAATAAACTTTAGCCTAATTCCCTTATAGGTCATAGACTGATGGGGTAATAAGGAAACGTCACCCCCAAATGGGGAAAGCAGTTATTTATTTTATTTTATTTATTTATTTATTGGACTTATATACCGCCCCATAGCGCTACAAGCACTCTCCGGGTG